GAGTTTATTCTTAAAAAAAGGGGGATTTTCCAGTGTTCAGACTATAACTCAAAAATGCTTTCAGCAGTTCTCATGAAACATTGGTGAATTGTTTATATCTAGTGATGTAAGCTGCTGCCTTTAGAATTTTATAAATTTTACATTTTACATTTCCAAGTTACGGGGTTTTATATATTAAAAAGGGGGGATTTTCCAGTTTTGGACAATGTTTTCAGCAATTCTCATTAAACTTTGGTGAATTGTTTATATCTATTGATGTAAGCTCCCTTTTTGATTTTCATAAATTTTCTTATATGACATTTAGAAGTAATTGAACTTTATTCTTTGTAAATGTGACGCGCATATCATGCGCTCATGGCGCAGCTGTTTATTGAAGGTGGTATGCATATGGTTGCCTATAATTTCTTATTTACATCTATTTTATTTGAATTTAAGGGAATAGTTGTTATTTATATAAACAAATCCCACGTCGATATATAACATGTACAACAATCAAACATCAACCCACGCCAAACTGGATGTAATTGAAAGACATCTAGAGGTCAATATAAAGTCTCGAACAAAAGACAAAATAAGGAAAAATATAGCGAATTTTTTAGAAGAATTATTATTACATGTATTTTCAATATTTAAAATATATCGTTTAAATTTTTTTGAGTTTTAGGTTCCACCTACCATTTTAGAAAACTGGGATTTCATTGCGGCTAGTCTATTATATATATATAGAGGGGTATTTCATTGGTTGTAGATATGGAATCTTATTTTATCATAAAGTCAGATTTGAACACGACTTGAGGAATGAAGGTGGAGTAAAAGACCAAATGTCAGTTTTAGTCTTATATATGTACGTCAATTTTAGTCTTATATGTGTATACATATATTATTGATTCAGTGGTGATGGTAAATAGACACTGACAAGTCTTAGATAACATTTTATAGTTTTGAATGTTTCTTCATCAGTTAACTAAAATTAGGTGGAGGTATGTTCTTATTTCCGACAGAGGGGCACTCAACCTATTTCCGACAGAGGGGCACTCAACCTATATCAATTTGTGCATGAAGCGATTGATAGTTGCTAGATACTGAATGATTTCAGTACCACAAATTTGTGAAAGTTTTAACCGGTGTATATATACTTAAAATAAGATAATAAAATTCATGTCTTTTTCAGGACTTCTGATCCAACCATGTAGTATGGCATGTTTGTGAGATATGGTTTTGGCCGATAGGATGTTCATGAAGGACCTGTAGTACAAAGTATATCACTGGATTGAGCTCTTTGTCTAAGTGTATTATTAAAGTGCTTTGCTTTGAGCTCAGTTCATTGTTATGCAATTCATTCTTTGTGAAATAAAGATTTGACAGACAACTCTCATGTACAAGGAATTGTCAAAGTAGTATCCATTCTATGTACAATGTAAGTAATAGGGAGATAAAAGCATTTTATTTAGATTTGAACCAAACATTTTTTGTCCATAAGCCAAATTTAAAAAAAAGCACAAGTTTACCAAACAATGCTACTCGCGCTACTAGCAATATGATGCTAGGTTGTTTTGTTACACTTTATTTTTATACGACCGCAAAAACATTTTGCGGTCGTAAATTGGTATGACGTTGGCGTCGTCGTCGTCGTCGTCGTCCGGCGTCGTCGTCGTCCGAAGACACATTGGTTTTCGCACTTTAACTTTAGTTTAAGTGAATGGATCTCTATGAAATTTTACCATAAGGTTCAATACCACAAAAGGAAGGTGGGGATTGATTTTGGGGGTTATGGTACCAACAGTTAAGGAATTAGGGGCCAAAAAGGGGCCAAAAATAAGCATTTTTGTAACTTCCAGACATAACTTGTGTGTTAGTGTATAGATCCCTCTGACATTGTACCACAAGGTTCCATATCACAAAGGGAATGCTGGGATTGATTTTGGGGGTAATTGCCTCCAAATCTTAGGAATTGGGGGCCAAAAAGGGGCAAAAAACAAGCATTTTTCTAGTTTCATGACAATAACTTGTGTGTAAGTTTATGGATCTCCCTGACATTGTACCACAAGGTTCCATATCACAAAGGGAATGCTGGGATTGATTTTGGGGGTAATTGCCTCCAAATTTTAGGAATTAGGGGCCAAAAAGGGGCAAAAAACAAGCATTTTTCTAGTTTCATGACAATAACTTGTGTGTAAGTGTATGGATCTTTATGAAATGGTACTATAAGGTTCCATATCACAAAGGGAAATCTGGAATTGAGTTAAAGGGTGATTGCCCAAAACGTTTAGGAATAAGGGGCCAAAAATAAGCATTTTTCTAGTTTCCAGACAATAACTTGTGTTCAAGTTAAATTGAGAATGGAAATGGGGAATGTGTCAAAGAGATAACAACCCGACCATAGAACAGACAACAGCAGATGGTCACCAAGTGTATGGATCTCTCTGAAATTGTACTGCAAGGTACCATACCACAAAGGGAAGGCTAGGATTGATTTTGGGGGTAATTGCCTCAAAATTTTAGGAATTAGGGGCCATAAAAGGGCAAAAAAACAAGCATTTTTCTAGTTTCAGGACAATAACTTGTGTTCAAATGTATGGATCTCTCTGAAATTGTACTGCAAGGTACCATACCACAAAGGGAAGGTTGGGATTGAGTTTGGGGGTGATGAATCATAAGGGGGTTCAAAAAATTTGGGGGGGTTTCCTTTTTTTTCTTTAAAATTTTCCATTTTAAATTGGTTATTTCTGATTTATATATAAAAGCAAATAATAATGATATGGTTTGAATAGGTTAATTAAAATTTTTTAAGTTCTTAGACCACATTCATTCTGTGTCAGAAACCTATGCTGTGTCAAATATTTAATTACAATCCAAATTCAGTGCTGTATCAAGCTTGAATGTTGTGTCCATACTTGCCCCAACTTTTCAGGGTTCGACCTCTGCGGTCGTATCAAGCTGCGCCCCAGCGGAGCATTTTATTATACATCTGTACTGCGCCTACTGACGAATCAGTCCTGAGTGTAAATGGTCATTCAGTATGTTAAAAAAAAGACCAAAATTTATAAGGCCTATGTGGACTAATTGATTTCTAAAACTATATTTCATTGTAAATGTTCAACATTTATTATTCATTTGTTTATTTCTTAATTTGTGTGAATTAACAGTAAATGTTAATTACTACACTTTCATACCACAACAAAACTGCCTTACTGTATTGCCAGGTATCACTTATATTTGTATCCATATAACAAAAAAAATTGAAAAGAGAATATTTTTGCAATACCTTTTTAGCTCACCGGGGCCCAAAGGGCCCCATGTGAGCTTATGCCATCACTTGGCGTCCGTCGTCTGTCGTCGTCGTCGTAAACTATTTCAAAAATCTTCTCCTTTGAAACTACTGGGCCAAATACCTTCAAACTTTAACTAAATGTTCCTTAGGGTGTCTAGTTTATAAATTGTATCCAAAGTTTTGATCCATCGACAATCATTGCTGCCATGGCTAAAAATAGAACATAGGGGTCAAATGCAGTTTTTGGCTTATATCTATCAGCTCTGAAATTTTCAGACAAATCGAACAACCCATTATTGGGTTGCTGCCACCGAATTGGTAGTTTTAACAAAATTTTGCAGTTTTTTGTTATTATTTTGAATATTATTATAGATATATTTAAACTGTAAGCAGCAATAATGTTCAGCAGAGTAAGATCTACAAAAAAGATTATTTGACCATAATTGTCAATTAACCCCTTAAGGAGTTATTGCCCTTTAAAGACAATTTTACACAATTTGTTCATCAAGTTTGCTAACATTTAAAAATATTCTCCTCTGAAACTACTCTGCCAATTACCTTCAAACTTTAACTAAATGTTCCTTAGGGTATCTTGTTTATAAATTGTATCCGAAGTTTGTATCCATCGACAAACATGGCCGCCATGGCTAAAAATAGAACATAAGGGTCAAATGCAGTTTTTGCCTTTTATCTCAAAAACTAAATCTTTTAGAGCAAATGTGACATGGGGTAAAATTGTTTAATTCTTAAGCATCAGTGGCCAAGTCTTTCTAAACTAGATACTCTAAGAAGCATTCAGATAAAGTCTGGTAAATTTGGCCTTGTAATTTCACAGGAGATTTTTTTTAAGGTTAGGATGGAGGATGTTAAGTGTTGGTATTAAGCTACTTTTCAGCATTTTTTGTGTATTTTGTATGAAAATGAATGTTGTTTTTTTTGTTCAACTGATACACAAAACACAATCAATAGGCAATACATAATCTGTTCCTTGAACTGCTTTTTCAAATCAACATGTGACACAAGTCCCACAACATACATGTACACATACTGGCCTCTAAAAACACTGCAAAGGATCTCATTTGTGTAGAGAGCACAATGTAGCACAAAAGTGAATAAAAAAACCATGAAGGACCAAAACAACGTGTTTTTATCCCATATGTATGCAGTGTGCAACTTTCGAAATATTAACTTGAATCCATTTATACAATTTCTACAAGTTCATAAGTTGTGGCTATCCCTTTTGTCTCGATCAGAAATAAAATAGTCATAAACTAAACTTAACTGAGTGATTGAAATAAAATCATGTGAAACACTCCTAATTTCAGAAACCTCTTTCCTGTTACTGGCATTGGCCGTCCAGATTTAATCTAGATTTTTAGATCTAATACCAGGTAATTGAGCAGATACATCTGCATGCAGAAAAAAAAACAGTAAATGAAATACCAAAATTAAAAATGAATGAGTGAATGATTTCAGAGGAGTTGCGATGACAAGAACAGGACTGACTGACGAACGGACAGACAGACGGACGGACAGATGGGTCAAAAACATTATACCCTCCACAACTTTGTTGCGTGGGGTATAAAAATCAAAATCTAACTTGACCTGTACTTTTATGGTCCATGACATTCTCAAATAAATTTCATTAACGAGACTTATAATTCATATAATATTACTATAACTTCTATAATCCCTTAAATATTTAGGCTTAAACAAAACTAACAATATATTCATGTTCCTGATAACCCAGACAGCTCATCTGGACACCAGATTTTAATGATTTTTAAAACAATATCCATGTATACAAATTGTAAGCATATATACATAAAAGATAATCATAAAAATTATAATTGATGAAATGCTTCTATGCTGTATTTCAAGTTAAATACTAAATAATGACAAAATCTCTATCATCAACAATCTCCCTGCCAGGAACAACCATGACAACCAACTAAAACGAGTGAACTTGGTCAAACTTCTTTAAAAACTGAATTTGTAGTGGGAAAATGTTGGAAACCTGAGTCCAAAACCTAATGCTCTAAAGACCGTCTCAGGAAGTATACTTTAGACAGTATAAAAAAATGTATAATTATTAAGAACAAAACAATTGATAAAAATATAAATTATATTAAACTCAGCTAAAAAATAAAAGAATGTGTCTGAGGACACAATGCCCTTGCTCAAGCTTTGCAATTTTAAAAATTGAAAAAGGAGCATAACTCTAGAAAAGTAAGTGACTCACTGCCCAAATTTGCAACTTTCCAACTGATAAAGGGGCATACCTCTTAAAATTTAGTGCAGAAACAAAAATGGGACAAAAGGAACAACAAAAGGACAGAAGGACGTCCTTTCCCTATGGCAGGGGCATAAAAAAAGGAAAAAAGTCGGAAAAGATATATATTTAACAACGGTGAAAGCCAAAATATACATTTCATTTTTTCTTTTTTTTTTAAGATTCTCCATCCTTAACTTCTGGAAGTGTTTTGACTAGACACGGACCATTATTAATATATCTAAAAGAGTAGGTCTTCAAATAAAATTGGTCCATTTCAATTCATTTTCAAAGTACCAATTAAATCTAGCCACAGGGGAAAAAAAATAATGAATACATGATTGAATCTGAACTATGAACTCAAAACAAAACTATACATACCAAAAACCAATTCAGTATCAATATGCATGACAAAAAAATTGTCAAGAATGGACATGAGTAGAGCTACCTGAATATATCCTTTGGTTTTAATGGTAAAAAAAAGAGGATTTTAAAATTCAAAATAAGTTATCTATAACTTACAATCTTGTTGAAAATGGAGAATCTTTACACTATTTGTTTTTTTGTAAAAAATTATAAACATTTTCTCAAACATACACAAAAATTGTCTAAATTACATTCTTTACTGGTACAGTCACCCAATCATTTTCATGCAGCCACAGTTAAAGTAACCTGAAAAAGAAATATTCATTCTTAAACATATCTGTCAAAACTATGTGAAAATAATTGAAACAATATTTAATGCAAAAGAATAATTACCTGGGCATTACAATTATGATGCATATAACATTTCTTTACTTAGCTTTAAAGTGCCTTGTGGACATAACTTTTAGACTACCAGTCTTTGTTGGCAAAAAAAGATGAAAAACAAGTCGTTGTTTGTTGTCTATCATATTTGTTTTGTTTATTGTTTTATCCTATATCAAGTCATTGGTTTTCTCATATGAATTATTTCACATTTTGTCATGTTGGGGCCTTATATAGCTTACAATACAGAATAGGTTTTGCTCATTGTTGAAGACCATAAAATGGCATTCTATAGTTGCTAACATCCTTGTCATGTGGTTATTGGTTGATTAATATCTCGTTGGCAATCATACTACATTTCTTAATTTCTATATAGTGGGATTAATTTAGATAAAAAAAAAACAGAGAGAAGATATCCAAAATTCAAATCTTTGACTTCCCTTACTTGTATCTTGATACCCCCTTCCGAATTATACATACACTTAAAACATGAATAAACTGTTATCACAGAGATACGTCTCAATTTTTTGTAATTTTGATTATGCAAATGTTGAAATAAAAATGGCAATACTTAACAAGTTAGGCTAATATTCAAAGTCAATGAACCATGACTGAGGTACATGGCTAAACCATCTTCATGTAAATGAGATGCGCCAATGCTAATACAACTGCACACCAAATATCATTGACTTATTATAAGTTGTTCCCTTTAAACAAACCTAAACACAATCATTAACTTGTAAACTATGTAAAAGTTTCAAAGTCAATGAACCATGAAGAGCGGGTGGAGCTATATAATCTCCATGGAAACGATACTTATAAATGCCAATAAATTTGCATACCAAATATCATTAACTTAACATTAGCAGTTCATCTTAAACTGATCTTATCACAAACTAATATATGTAAACTAAGCAAGTTTCAAAGTCAATAGGCCATGACTGAGGGGATGGGGCCAAATATTCTCCATTGAAGTGAGATGTGCTAATGCTTATACAACTGAATACCAATTAACATTGGCCTACCACTAATGGTTCCTCTTGAACTGACCTAATCACAAACTAATACATGTTAACTAAGCAAAATTTTCAAAGTCAATAGACCATGACTGAGGGGGCTGAGCCAAATAATCTACATGGAAATGAGATGTGCCAATGCTTATACAACTGCATACCAAATATCATTGACCTACCCAGGGACTTTCTATACTAACGGGACTGGTCACTTATAACGATGTCTATACAAATTATCAGACTGATCTCGGCCGTAGCTGATGTCACGTGACTTTATAGCAAATCATTTCCCATTTACGGAGTGTTCTTCATAACTATATGTTCAAGTTTAACAAAAACTCGTTTTTATGAAATTTTATACATTTTGTCATTGCAAAATGTTGTTTTTCAAAAGATTTCTCGGATCATTTTTTAAATATTGATCTTTGAACTTTGAGGTATTTGTTCGTTGAATTTTCAGTAGCCGCCATCTTGTTTGATACGGTAAACCATTTTACACACGTGGGATGTTCTTTAAAACGATACGTCTAAGTTTAATAATTCATCATTCTTTCAAAATCTTATATTTTTTGTCATCGTAAATGGCTATTAATCAGATTTTATATTAACAACTAATAATAATTATATAATTACAATGAACTGTGAAATACCCAAATAACTACTAGCATCGTATATCAGAGATACGAAACTAAGTTTATTGTTGGGTGGTAGCTTTAAACAGGCGGCTTAGTAATCAGTTAAAATCAATTGAGACGAGTCCCGTTAGTATAGAAAGTCCCTGACCTACCGCTAACGGTTGCTCATAAACTGACCTAATCACAAACTAATACATGTAAAATAAGCAAAAGTTTCAAAGTCAATAGACCATGACTGAGGGGGCAGGGCCAAATAATCTCCATGGAATTGAGATGTGCCAATGCTAATACAACTGTATACCAAATATGATTGACCTACAACTTGTGGTTCACCACAAACTAGACCTAATCACAAACTAATACATTGTTGACACTGCCGCCGCCACCGGAAACAGCATACCTAAGTCTCGCTTTTTGACTCTGTCAAGCGAGACAAAAATCTAGTGACATGCTCTAAGTTGAATAGTTCATAAATCTATGTACTAATTCTCTTACCAAAAAAGTCAGCTCCAATGGCCATTCCCAACCTCAATCCTTACGGACAAGCTGTGATGTTAACCTGAAATATAAAATGCTTCATCATCAAAAATTGTTTAAACTGATCAATGTTGGTATACTTATATATATTTAATATAAACAATGGTAGTCTATAAATGTGTAATAGATGTTGAGAACATGTGTATAAATTGTGTAATTATAAATCGTCTAAAGCTATCCAGCAACCCAGCAAACTTTTTATGTAATTACATCAGATCCTAAGATTTACTTATATAATGGTAGCTGATAAACGAAAGAGTAGACTTCTGACCAACTCCTAAAAGCCTAGAGAATTTTCCAAAGAAATTTTATAATACATTTGGTGTTTTTTTTCTCTTCAAAACTGATATAACATTCTGGTACTTACCTTCCTTTTAGATGTATTAGACCCCAAAGTTTTATAATCCAACACCATGAAAATCATGTCACAGAAAGGTTACCTAAAAAGGAATTAAAATGGATACATTATTATATATTTTATAAATCCATTTCTGTCAACATAAACATTTACTAAATATTGTTTTGATTTCTTACTACATGTTCACAATAGTATAACATCAACACCTAAGTTTGTAAAATTAATATATAAAGATGGAAAACTAAAAGGAAGTCAAAGAATAATGATTTGAATATCAACTGCATTAAAATCTGCATATTTTACAGAGTTATATCCCATTGAATTAACAAATCTTGGAAGCTCTATTCCAATCTCAGGATTTACTCTTGCTATTTTTTTAGAAAATCTTGTCAATATACTTGGTACAACTTGTTTCTTTAAATATTAAACTGGTAAAATAATTCTCGGTCGGGTAGATGTTTTCACAATTTTTAGTTTTCAGTTTTCTAACTTGGAAAATATGTTCTCATACAGTTATCTTTTAATTTTTTGTGTTTTAATTATCCTGATAAGAATTCAACTGGCCAATGTACATGTAATGGTGTATAATATCATACCATTAGTATTTGCAAAACTTTCTTAAAATGGTGTTGATACTTTATAAAGGTATTTAAGTTGATTTCTTCTGTTTGTTTTATCCCATTAAAATCAATAGTCAATACCATATTTTATTTCTTTAAAACAAACAATTACACACATAGGACATATAAAGACCATCAGAAATAATAAATACAGTATTGTAACCTATATATCTCCGTAAGAACTCTGTAATAGAAACAAATAATAAAGATAAGTGATGTTTGAAAAATTGTTGTCACTTCTATCAAAGCAGGCTCTCTTAAAAGCTTACAGTAGATTTAGCTTCATCTGTGATAAAAATAAAATATATAAGGTATTATAGAGTATAGAGTTACGGAAATCTATATGCCACTCTTCCTGGTCTGTTAGCCATATTCAAGGTCGACAACTGAAACATCCTCTCTAAGCTGAATCTGCAAAAATCCAAAATTACAAATTAAACATCTGTGAGTGAACTCTGAAATGAATTAAAGAACCTTAGTGAGCGCGCTCACATACCCCACGTCCTCACATTGTCATTGGAGAAATAAAATTGAATCATAATTTCCTGTCAATATGCACATCTACATTGTATGTCCTTATTATCTACAAAGTTTCATGAAATTATGTTGTGTGGTTTCAGAGGAGTTGCCATGAAAAACTGTTGCAGAAGACATTGAAGCAAATAAGTTCAAAGGGGCGTAACTCCTAGAAAAAATATTGAATCATAATTTCCTGTCGATATGCACATCTACATAGTATGACCTTATTATCTACAAAGTTTCATGAAATTCTGTTGTGTGGTTTCAGAGGAGTTGTGATGACAAACTTTTGCAGTAGTACATTGAAGCATATAAGTTCAAAGGGGTGTAACTCCTAGAAAAAAAATTGAACCGTAATTTCCTGTCGATATGCACATCTACATAGTATGTCCTTATTATCTAAAAAGGTTTCATGAAATTCTGTTGTGTGGTATCAGAGGAGTTGCGATGACAAACTGTTGCAGTAGTACATTAAAGTAAATAAGTTCAAAGGGGCGTAACTCCTAGAAAAAAAATTGAACCGTAGTTTCCTGTCAATATGCACATCTACATAGTATGTCCTTATTATCTAAAAAGGTTTCATGAAATTCTGTTGTGTGGTATCAGAGGAGTTGCGATGACAAACTGTTGCATAGTACATTGAAGCAAATAAGTTCAAAGGGGCGTAACTCCTAGAAAAAAAATTGAACCTTAATTTCCTGTCGATATGCACATCTACATAGTATGTCCTTATTATCTAAAAAGGTTTCATGAAATTCTGTTGTGTGGTATCAGAGGAGTTGCGATGACAAACTGTTGCAGTAGTACATTAAAGTAAATAAGTTCAAAGGGGCGTAACTCCTAGAAATAAAATTGAATCGCAATTTCCTGTCGATATGCACAACTACATAGTATGTCCTTATTATCTAAAAAGGTTTCGTGAAATTCTGTTGTGTGGTTTGAGAGGAGTTGCGATGACAAGAAACAGGACTGACGGACTGACAGACGGACAGGTCAAAAACATTATACCCTCCGCAACTCGTTGCGTGGGGTATAAATATAAATATACTAGTCAACAAAAGTAATGATACACAAGTTTGAACTCTAATTTATCATAAAATATAATAAAATAGGAAAAACAGTTTAATTATCTATTGAAAAACATTCATTTGCAAAGCAAATGCATATGATTAAAAGAATCTGACCAAAATGGAAAGTGAGAAACTACCGTGTTATATAAAACAGGGGTCAAATTTATTTTGCGGAACATAGATTTTATTACAAATTTATTTTATTGAACATAGATGTTCCTCAAATAGTCAAAAAATATCAAAGAGACTTAAGGGCTACAGTTCCGCAGCTACCTTACCATCAGTTCTTTGAAGAAACCTATATAAAAAATAAATATATATACAACAATATACATGAAAATATATAAAATGAAATAAATCAACCAATCTTACTATTAGGTGCAGAACCGTAGCTCTTAATTAGGTCCTTATGATATATTGTAAAGACCTAAGAGCTACGGTTCCACAGCTACCTTACCATCAATTCTTTGAAGAAACCTATATAAAAAATAAATATATATACAACCATATATACATGAAAATATATAAAATGAAATAAATCAACCAATCTTACTATTAGGTGCAGAAACATAGCTCTTAATTAGGTCCTTATGATATATTATAAAGACCTAAGAGCTATGGTTCTGCAGCTACCTTACCATCAATTCTGTGAAGAAACCTATATAAAAAATAAATATATATACAACAATATACATCAAAATATATAAAATGAAATAAATCAACCAATCTTACTATTAGGTGCAGAACCATAGCTCTTAATTAGGTCCTTATGATATATTATAAAGACCTAAGAGCTATGGTTCTGCAGCTACCTTACCATCAATTCTGTGAAGAAACCTATATAAAAAATAAATATATATACAACAATATACATCAAAATATATAAAATGAAATAAATCAACCAATCTTACTATTAGGTGCAGAACCATAGCTCTTAATTAGGTCCTTATGATATATTATAAAGACCTGAGAGCTATGGTTCTGCAGCTACCTTACCATCAATTCTGTGAAGAAACCTATATAAAAAATAAATATATATACAACAATATACTTGAAAATATATAAAATGAAATAAATCAACCAATCTTACTATTAGGTGCAGAACCATAGCTCTTAATTAGGTCCTTATGATATATTATAAAGACCTAAGAGCTACGGATCAGCTGCTACCTTACCATCAATTCTTTAAAGAAACCTATATAAAAATAAATAAATATACAACAATATACATGAAAATAAATAAAATGAAATAAATCTACTAATCTTACTTTTAGGTGCGGAACCATAGCTCTTAATTAAGTCCTTATGATATATTATAAAGACCTAAGGTTCCGCAGCTACCTTACCATCAATTCTTTGAAGAAACCTATATAAAAATAAATAAATATATAACAATATACATGAAAATAAATAAAATGAAATAAATCTACCAATCTTACTATTAGGTGCAGAACCATAGCTCTTAGTTAGGTCCTTATGATATATTATAAAGACCTAAGAGCTACCGTTCCGCAGCTACCTTACCATCAATTCTTTGAAGAAACCTATATAAAAAATAAATATATATACAACAATATACATGAAAATATATAAAATGAAATAAATCAACCAATCTTACTATTAGGTGCGGAATCGTAGCTCTTAATTAGGTCCTTATGATATATTATAAAGACCTAAGAGCTATGGTTCTGCAGTTACCTTACCATCAATTCTTTGAAGAGACCTATTTAAAAAATAAATATATATACAACAATATACATGAAAATATATAAAATGAAATAGATCAACCAACCATACTATTTATAGCTGTGGAACCATAGCTCTTTGGTCCTTATATTTATTGAACATAGATGGTCCTCAAATAGTCAAAAAATATCACAAGGACCTAAGAGCTAAGGTTCCGCAGCTACCTCACCATCAATTCTTTGAAGAAACCTATATGAAAAATAAATATATATATAACAATATACATGAAAATATACAAAATGAAATAAATCAACCAATCTTACTATAAGTTGCAGAACCATAGCTCTCAATTAGGTCCTTATGATATATTATAAAGACCTAAGAGCTATGGTTCCGCAGCTACCTTACCATCAATTCCTTCAAGAAACCTATATCAAAAATAAATATATATACAACAATTTACATGAAAATATTTTATGAAATAAATCAACTAATCTTACTATTAGGTGCGGAACCGTAGCTCTTAATTAGGTCCTTATGATATATTATAAAGACCTCAGAGCTACGGTTCTGCAGCTACCTTACCATCAATTCTTAGAAGAAACCTATATAAAAAATAAATATATATACAACCATATACACATGAAAATATATAAAATGAAATAAATCAACCAATCTTAATATTAGGTATAGATCCATAGCTCTTAATTAGGTCCTTATGATATATTATAAAGACCTAAGCGCTATGGTTCTGCAGTTACCTGACCATCAATTTTTTGAAGAAACCTATATAAAAAATAAATATATATACAACAATACACACATGAAAATATATAAAATGAAATAAATCAACCAATCTTACTATTAGGTGTGGAACCGTAGCTCTTAATTAGGTCGTTATGATATATTATAAAGACCTAATAGCTACGGTTCCGCAGCTACCTTACCATCAATTCTTTGAAGAAACCTATATAAAAAATAAATATATATATACAACCATATACACATGAAAATATATAAAGTGAAATAAATCAACCAATCTTAATATTAGGTATAGATCCATAGCTCTTAATTAGGTCCTTATGATATATTATAAAGACCTAAGAGCTACAGTTCTGCAGTACCTTACCATCAATTCTTTGAAGAAACCTATATAAAAAATAAATATATATACAACAATAAACATGAAAATATATAAAATGAAATAAATCAACCAATCTTACTAATAGGTGCGGACCCGTAGCTCTTAATTAGATCCTTATGATATATTATAAAGACTTAAGAGCTACGGTTCCACAGCTACCTTACCATCAATTCTTTGAAAAAACCTACCGGTATATAAAAAATAAATTTATATACAACCATATACACATGAAAATATATAAAATGAAATAAATAAAGCAATCTTACTATTAGGTGCGGATCCATAGCTCTTAATTAGGTCCTTATGATATATTATAAAGACCTAAGCGCTATGGTTCTGCAGTTACCTGACCATCAATTTTTTGAAGAAACCTATATAAAAAATAAATATATATACAACAATATACATGAAAATATATAAAATGAAATAAATCAACCAATCTTACTATTAGGTGCGGAACCAT